TCCTTGCACAGGGGCTATGCTAATCTTCATTCTCTGTATCGTTCCAATTTATGGGCTGCTAAGCTCCCTCGCCGCCCTCCCTCCCTCCCCCGCTCCTCCCCCTCAAAAAAAAAAAGAAGGGAAAAAGAAGGGAATGTATAGAATTCATGTTGATGCCAGTACCTGGTTCCTCCCCCACCCCCCACCCTCACCCCCCAAAAAAAGGACCATTTCAGACCATTCCTCTATTAAAGTGTGTCATCCTTGCACAGGGGCTATGCTAATCTTCATTCTCNCCCCACCCTCACCCCCCAAAAAAAGGACCATTTCAGACCATTCCTCTATTAAAGTGTGTCATCCTTGCACAGGGGCTATGCTAATCTTCATTCTCCGTATCGTTCCAATTTTAACGGATGTCCAAAGGACTTTCTTCTACCTGTTTTAGGGACTACGCCAGTACCTGTTTTAGGGTCACGAGGTGCCTGCCGATGACTCCCGTGTATTCCTGTGGCCCTGTGACACGCCACCTGTCACCCACCACCATCCAAGCATCAAAAGCATGAACAGGAACCAGGAACAAGTTCAGGTTCACACGAGGTACATAATATTGTCATTTTATGATTTTAACTCGAAGGGAAAAGAGGGGAGATTCTACAACCCGCCCTTAGTAAATGCCGAAATGTAGTCTCTTGCCCCCGATCGCCCCAAAAGTTTACATATTTATCCCCACATGCATCAGAAAGTAGGACTCCCACTCATTCCTCCCTGACTCCCACTGAAGCTGGCTGCCTGGTTTGTGAGCTGGCCTGTGCTGCATGGCATGCACGTAAGTGGGCTTTGTGTAACGTATGCAGCCCCGTGGCCTTGTGCGCAGCCTTGTATGCAGCGTATGTGCAAGGTTAAAAACAAAATCCAAAAGGTCTGGAAGAGAGAGACGTGTGAGCAGCATTGCAGTGCAAACAATGTTTGGCTGAGAGTCATCTTGATATTCATCGCCAAATCCGCGGAAATAAAGTAAAACTGTAAATTGGTACACTGTGAGGTGGTGTCATGATCACTATCATCATTTCAAAGAATTAGTGGCACTTGTATTCTCTACCACATGGTTTTTAATCCGCTTGAGACACCGGATCTCTTTTTTTTTCCCCTTTTAATAGTGGATCTCCTTTTTTTTTTCTTTTCTTTTCTTTTTTTAAGCTGCTTTCTCCTCATCGAGGAACAGCCATATATTTTTCTCTCTCACCTCACATATTTTTAACTGGCGTTCTGCCATGTCATCATGAAACATATCTTTTTTATCTATCACTACCAACCTACCACTACTCCTAAGGGTATACAGGGGACCCCTGCAAGCATAGCTTTCTACCTCTCTTCACCACAGTCATGCAACAAAACCTATGGGAGGCGGGGGGGGGGGGACTACGGAACAGTCCTCCAGCATGGAACAAGCATAGTCGTTCTCTTTCTCTCTTTTGTATCCTTCGGTGTGAGTCCTCATAGCCAACCATCTTAAGAGGACCTTAAAAAATTGAGCAACCATCATCACCTTTTGGAAACAACATCACAAATTTTGTCTGGACAATTGTGGGCTCAACTTCGCCGCCCAAGAATTTCCATGAACTACTCGAACAGGGGTTTTTCTAGAGAGTGCAGCACTTGCACTTGGATCACAACTTTTTACCTTTTCTTTTCTTTTTTTTTTAACCACTAGTACCTTTGGCGTCCGGCATCGACAAGTTTTGGTCTACCTCCGAACTTTCAGGAGGCCGGGCCCGACAACGGCTGCCGTTGATAAATCTGATCGGTGGCCGTCGTTTCGTTTCGGCCTCCTGAAAGGTCGGAGGCCCGCTATTTTCGAACCGACAAAGGTACTAGTGGTTTAACACAAACACACAAACACAAACACAAATACAAACACAAACACACAAACACAAACACACAAACACAACTTGATTCGAGCCTTCCCCGCTTTCAAACTTCCCCTTTTTCCTTTGTACGGTCGTTCATGCCACACACACTTCTATCAGGTCATACAGTGACATTGTGACATTGTAGTTGGGACGCTGGACCCGGTTTTCAGGAAAGAGGAAAGTACAGCTCTGAGCTCCCCACTTATAATAGATGGAGCCTTCGACGCAGGGTACCACTAAGGGAGGCCCCCCTTACCACCCCCCTTAATGAGGCCCTGCCCTGCAGTTGCATTCAAAATCAACAAAAAAGAAAAAGACATTGTAGGCACCATGGAGGTGCACATTTGGCCCTATCACACTCCTTCTGGAGGTCACTGGTTGCCTTTATTAGGGCCTCATTCCACCACTCACCATTCGCCAAGTTTGCCAAGCATGGCATGGTTCCAAACACATTAACTACATTTTCCTCTCGAAGATAAAATATTAACCCCCCCCGGTACTTGGGCCATACCTCGGTCGCGGGCCCCCTCATGTTAACATGCCGCTACTTTTGGGGCTCGGGAACCTGGTGGTTTAATTTGTGAGAACCAAGAGGTCCAAAACATGCAGCTACCTTCTTCCCCCGAACATAACGCACGTCCGTTATAAACGAATACAATGCATACGTTGCGTTTTATCCGTTTAATCTGCCCCAACGCATAAGTTGCGTTTTATCCGTTTAATCCCTCATATGCGTTGTATTGGAGGGCAGTGCAGAAACTTTTCGGACAGCAGGGGGCCCGGTCCAGGCTGAGTAGGCTCAGTTCTCGTCCGTGGCCGAGTGCATTACACAGACAAAAAATGTGATGTTGTATCTTTCCACCATGTTCTGGCCGAAGATTCATCCCCCTTTTGCCATTTGAGGCCTCCCTCCACTCCTCACCAAATGTGCAAAATGAGAATGAATCTTCCGCTAGAACATGGAAAAATACAACGCCCTGGCATAGTCAGGCACGTCCCTCATGGCTTACCGCTGCCCCCGCTGCCACTTCCTTGGCCGCCATTTGTCAGATAGCGGGAGACAACCAAGAAGAGCGCAGGAGCCTCCATGCACAAAAGGCAAAAATCATGGCGGTGTATCTTTCCATGTTCGAGCGAAAGATTCACTCTCGTTTTGCACATGTCCAGAGTCGTGGAGCCAGGTCCTAGGTCACACACATACACTGAGAGAGAGACACGGAGTGAGAGAACACATGCGCTAACCTAAAAAAGAAAGGGGGAAAAAAGAAGAAGAAGAAGAAAGTTTTTTTCGATAATAGAGCTTATATGCGATTTATTCGAAGACAAAGACAAAGCATATGCGTTGTATTCGAAGTGCCCTCTATTTGGAAAAAAAGTACCAACTTTCGAAAAAGTTATGCGTTATGTTCGGGGGAAGAAGGTAGTTGCCACAATTTTGGGTCAATAACCCCCATATCACCATACCACCATTTCTCCACTAAATCTGGCCAGAAAAGAAGTGCTAGACACCAAAAGGAAAGTCCAAGTGTAACCCCCATAACCGAATGGAGCCCCCATGTAACTATTGGTAAACAGGTTATGAGTTCAAACTCTGGTCAAATCAGATGAATCCTATAATAACGGCTATCACCCTAAATCTGTAAGTCAGGCCTCTACCCAGAGGAACAGAAAAATGCCAAGGTCATACCGTTCTTTTCTTTGGGGAGGGGAAATTTTCAGATGCACCTAAAGAGATGCCGGATTTCATCTGATGACCCTAAAAGATGCGATATTTTCATCTGATGCCCCTGCCATGTTTCATGAGATGCCCCTAAGAGACCGGGTATTAGTAGAATGGTCTTCTGAGAGAGGTCAAATTTGTCAAATTTCGATCTATTGCACACGACATCTTTTCTATATGCCCCTATGGCCAGGTCAGTGTCACAAGGTTAGACAAAACTGACAGGGGCGTGCCACAAATATCACGGGTGTGGTGACAGAGGTGTTCCGCAAATACCCAATTTTTGAGGGGCATCGCGCATATCTCAGGGGCATCCAACAAATTTTCCCTCTTTTTTTTTCCCCCCTCGGTGTTTTGCAAAAAGAAAAGAAGAACTAGAGTTTGCAAAATACCCCCATAACTTGAGATATATGCCAAAATGCCCCTAAAAGATGTGGGTAGAGCGGAATGCCCCTCTGACAAAAAAAAAAAAATTGTGAAATATCCCTGGCGTCGGTTGGACCCCATCTTTGCAATATACCCCTACCGGGTACTGTCCAACTTTGCAAAATGCCCCAGTACTTGCCTACTTTTCCTAGGCCCTATTGCAAAAGGCCAAGGCCCAAACGGGGAGGTCCAGATTGCAAAGTTGCACCCTCCTGACAGGGGCACACCGAAAAGATTTCGGCCCAAAAGGGCATTCCGCTCTACCCACATCTTTCAGGGGCATTTTGGCAAATATCTCAACTTACGGGGGTATTTTGCAAATTTCCCCACACGCCCCCCCCCAAAAAAAAAAAAAAAAAGTACACACCGGAAACTCTGTCCAGTGGTCAAAGTCAACTTCAATCGGAGTTCCTGAGGTCCGAGCCCAAGGGGTGTCCACGTGTCATCGCCGCAGCAATCTCGAGCCGCCACGTCAGCATCCACGTCAGCATCGTTGCGCCCTGTGAGGCTTTTAACTTCGTTCCTTTTCCGACTGGCAGCACTTTCCACTCTCGTTCGACCACGAGCCTGGCCCCGGCCCCGGCCCCCGCCTCCGTCTCGAGCCTGATCCCCATCCGCATCCCGATCCAGACCTCCGTCGTGTCTGGGTCTCCGCCGCTCTCCCCGCTTGTGCAGAACTGGGACGGGCACTCCGTTTCTGGGACCCAAAAAAATGTCCCACTGGTTAAGAGTATCATCAGCGGGCAAGCTGTCCCACTGGTTAAGAGTACCATCAGCGGGCAAGCTTTCTGCAACAGATTCATCTATTTCATCTATTTCTCCCGGCCGATAGACGGCAGTAGTTCGAGACCTGTCATCGGGATCGCAATTACCATCAGCAATCTCGCGCATAAGAACCACGTGGCGGTCTTCACCGCCCGAGTCAGCGGACAGCTTAGCAGCATTCTGCTCCGAGATGGTAATCCTCAACTTGCTCCTCCTCTGCCCCCCACCATCATCATCATCATCATCATCATCATGATAATCGTCAGTATTAGTAGTAGGATTACAATCATCAAGATGATCTTTATCATCCTCATGTCGACGATGGCCAACACCACGATCATCGTCCATGTCGTCATAATCCGATCTTATCCGTTTCTCTTGACAGGCATCCACGTGCGCAATCACGGTAGTACGATTACTATGCTTGCCTTCCCACCTCCTGTTCGTGCTCTTCTCTTCTTCTCCAAGCGATCGGCCGTTTGTCGCCGTTTGCTTTCCCGCCGTTTGCTGAGAGGGGGGAGGGAAGGGAGGAGCGGCCGTTCTCTCCCGTCGGCGCCAGATCGCAGGAACAGAACTTCTACCATCCCCTTTTTTTTTCCTCACTCCTGCTCCTTGCCCTCCCTCTCCCCCTCCCCCTCCCCCTCCCCCCCCCTTTCCTCCCACATCTGTATCTCTCTCCATTAATGTTAATTGATCCCCATCGACGGTCGTTGTGCCCCTTTCCAGATGATCGGCAGCGTCGGGATCCGATGGTCCCAGTCGATCTTCTTCCCCATCAAACGGTGATCGACTGGCTTCCCTCCAAGAGGAAGACGATTGCAACCATTTCTGACTAAGTACAGGACCCCCTCCTCCTCCTCCTCCTCCTCCTCCTCCTCCTCCTCCAGCTTCTCTGAACCATACTTTCTCCTCCGCAGACGCCATAGCCATGGCTCCACTCCTTATCTTCTTCCGACATCTAAATCCTARAGGACTTCCATTGYGTTTCATTGATAGATCGCCGATGCCACGTGTCATCACCAGCCCTCTCCCCCTCCCTTTCCCAATATCCCCTCCTCTTCCTCCCTTAGCCGTCCACCCATCTGTCTTCGTTTTASTTTCCCATCCTCCTCCATCTTTGTCGTATTCGTTCTCTAATCCTACACCGACACGTGGCACGATCCCCGMTCCTACCACCTCCTTCCGCATRCTYTKTTTGTTGSTTGATATGCCGCTGGCTATGGCGGCGATCCTTCCTCCACCCATGGCCATCGTTGACGTCATCGCATGAGACCGCAGCAGCATCTTGATACGTTTCCCCCTTCCTTTCCCCCTCCCCCTCCCCTCCCCCTCCCCCTCCCCCTCTTCTCCTCCAATACCCCCGCCACCTACCCACCCACCCCAACGCACACGCAACCTACCTACTCTCTCTCTCTCTCTCCCTCTCTCTCTCTCTCTCTCTCACACACACACACACACACACACACACACACACACACACAGAGACACACACACAGAGCTGCTATCCTCTCTCGGTGGAGGGGAAGAAGACCATAGCTCCGACAACCTTTCGTGGGCGCTTGACACGTGGTTTTGCGGCTCGCGTTGTTATTCGATGAGAGCCAGAATTGTTTTTTTTTTTACGATCTGACTGCGGAAGAGGACAAAAACATTCAACATAATGATTATGTTAATCGCCTTAAAAAAAAATCAATATAACTTATATATGTATGATTCACAGTGTGACAATGTATATGTATATATATATTGCATTCATTGTCATACAACCGGGGTCCGGTTGTTAGCTGAATTGTCAACAGCTTTCATAGTTCGCACGCACAGGCTGATTTGCTAATGAAAATGGGGAAGTCGAGAGTTCAAATCCATGCCCATGAACAAATCAGTAAAGCCGGTCGGATCCATTGCCTAAACTACAGTAATTCAGCAATATGCAGAGTGCTCTTTCCTGAAGATCATTGGAAAACAATACTTCACACACAACGTCCTCCCCAAAATGGAAATCAATACAGTAATTGAAAACGAGGTAGCTCACGTACACGTTCTGCACATGTTTCTGTGTGTGCGTTTGTCAAAGAGAGAGAGAGAGAGAGAGAGAGAGAGAGAGAGAGAGAGAGAGAGAGAGAGAGAGAGAGAGAGGTCGCACATTTTCTGGGGTTACGATTCGCGAACAAATCGCACACAAATTTCACACACACACACAAAGAGAGAGAGAGAGAGAGAGAGAGAGAGAGAGAGAGAGAGAGAGAGAGAGAGAGAGAACTCTGTCACTTGTTTTCTTTTTTTTTTTTTCAATAGGGCGACGGCCTTGAGATGATCGCCCGAAAGTGCAAACACTGGGGGCCATCTTGCCTGACTGACAGGCCCCAGGTAATTTCAGAGTTACATCTGGTTGCATCTGGATTCGGATTTGGGTTTAGGGTTTCAACAGTTCATGCGTGTACCAACTGAGCTAGGCCCAGTTGGTATTAATTAGGCTTTTTTCTGGGTTGCGATTAGTGAACAACTCTCTCTCTCTCTCTCTCTCTCTCTCTCTCTCTCTCTCTCTCTCTCTCTCTCTCACACACACACACACACACACACACACACACACACACACATAGGGACAGACACTTACGCGGGCATCTTCTTTGCCTGTTTGTTTGTTTTGTTTGTTTTGTTTGTTTTGTTTGTTTTGTTTGATTGTTTGATTGATTGATTGATTGATTATTTGTTTGTTTGGGAAAGTTTGCCTGTTTCTCAGTGTTCCTATGGAAGGGCAAAAAATAATGTGTACTACTAATTAGTACAATAGTACAATAGTGGATTCAAAATTCAAAGCAGTTTGATGTGCAAATGTCAAAAAGCTCAGAAAAAGCTCAGAAAGGCTGAGAAAGGGTTGTCCTTTTTTCTCAACAAAAAAAAAGAAAAGAAAAGAAAAGGAAAGGAAAGGATCTTCAATAGCGTCTACAGAAGTTGGATCTTGAATTTTGAATTTGCTTACTTATCGAGGGGTTTTCTGTCAAAAGGAAGAAACTCATCCGGCTTCTGGATTTGGTCACCGGGTGAGGGAAGGGGGGGGAGGAGGGGAGGACAAGAAAAAAAGATGACAGGAATTCCTTTTTTTTTGTTTTCTTTTTTTTTTTTTTGCCGTCTTTTGGGGGCTAGAAAAGAGGAACTCTGTTTCGGAAAATTTAGTAATTTTCGGCCTTACCGCGTCTGACCCCAGCCATTATTGTTATTAAAAAAAAAAAAAAAAAAAAAGTATCTTCGAGTCTTTTTTTTTTGGTACGGACCACACACATGAAGCCAGCTGTAGAGATATACAGATCACGAGTTCAAATCGTGGCACCAATTCAATTACAGTAATTGGCTGACCTTGGAGATTTGTCCTTGTCCTTATCCTCTAGCTACCGGTAGCAGAATTTCAGCCCCAGAGGGTTGTCCACGTGTCATCATTACAGCAATCTCGAGCAGCCGCGTCTCAGCCTCTTTAGGCAATTCCATGGAGACAAAAAACGGACGTGAAAGGGGGAGGGGTGTGTGTGGGGGAGGGTTTGGAGGGGGTTTGGGGGGGGGGGGGGGGGGGGGGGGGGGGGGGGGGGGGGGGGGGGGGGGGGGGGGGGGGGGGGGGGGGGGGGGGGGGGCGGAACCGTCCCAATTCCAGAAGGGAAGCATTTTTCTATCTCTTAAGCCCTAAACCCGGATCGGCAGCAAACCTAACATTCGCTCAGTTTTTTTTTTTTTTTTTTTTTTTTTCGGAATTTCATTTATATAGTTCCATCATCATCTGGATTCGAACTAGGGGTCGCTATTTCAACAGTTCATGGGTGTACCCACTGATCTAGACCCCTTTTGTGATAGGTAGGGTTTATTTCTACTCGTAATATTATTTCCTTTAGGGATCTAACTTTGATGTTCCTGGTCGTAGTTTCGGCGTTTTCTGAACCGAAATCCTCAGGGTAATTAACTTTAACCATCATGTGATCAGACATTATTAAACTGATGCGCATCAGTTTAATAAGTATGTGATCCGCGGGCCATCGGACGACCGGAAAAAAAAAAAAAAAAAAAAAAAAACCTACGTAGTTAAAAAAAAAGGCAAGAGGAGTTGTTGGATATGCAGTTTTACACACTGTAGATTGGTCCCATTTTCTGCCTTTTTTTAAACAAACAGACGATTGTAATCTCATTGAATTGAATATAAGTTCTTTTTTTATTTTTTAACCTAGGAGCGAACATATGTGCAAAACAAAGAAAAACAAAAAAAAAGGAGCAATCTACACACTGAAAAAAAAAAAGAAAGCATTTACAGCTCTTGCCTTTTGTTTTCAATTACGTCCTTTAATTACTTGCATGTTTAATTATATACTTCGATTTCCTTCTTTGATTATGTAATAATTCTTAAAAAAAGAAACGATGCATCTCTTTACAGCTCTTGCCTTTTGTTTTCAATTACGTTCTTTGATTACTTGCATCTTTAATTATATATACTTCAATTTCGTTCTTTGATCATTTAATTCTTAAGAAAAACAAAAAAAAGATGCATCTATTCATGCAAAACAAAAAGAAAGAAGAAGTCATTATTAAACACACACACACAAAGACAGTGCTGCTTCCCCCGTTTCTTATTATAAGCAAGGATTAAAAAAAAAGATACAAAACTTAAAAAAAAACGGAGCAGCTGCAGCGGAGCTGAAGAACAGCGACGCATATTTCTATCCTCCTCGTGTCTGTCAACAGGGGCAGATACATTACCCATTATCTTCCTCAATTATCCAATACCGCCCATTACTTCATCATCCATTATCCATTATCCATTATCCATTATCTTCCTCAATTATCCAATACCGCCCATTACTTCATCATCCATTATCCATTATCCATTATCCATTATGCACTATGCACATTAATTAATCCTTTATCCACGTTATCCATTATCCGTTATCCATTATCCGTTATCCATTATCCATTATCCATTCTACCTCTTTATTATCACGTTGTATCTGTTATGGTGGAGAAGGGGCGGGATGCGCAGGGAGGGGAAGGAGGAGGAGGAGGATGGCTTAGAGAATGGGGGGAGGAGCAGAAGGAGGAGAGGAAGAGGAGGAAGAGGAGGAAGTGGAGGAAGAGGAGGAAGAGGAGGAAGAGCAGGAGAAGGAGTAGGAGGAGGAGTAGGAAGAGAGGAGGAGGAGGAGTAGATGGCCAGGGCAATCAAGAGGGAAAGAATGAGCATCAGTTAAACCAAGAGGAGACGACAGCAAAGGGAACACGAGTAAAACGAAAATTTGATAATCTGGAAGAGATGGCGGAGACGAGGAAGGGAAGGAGGAAGAGGAGGACGAGGAGGGAGGGGTGGGAGGAGGAGGGGGTGAGGAGGGGAGGAAGCGGGAAGAAGAACAGTAGTCAGAGGAGGCAGAAGGTAGCAGGGAGAGGACGAAGGTAAAGATAACGAACCGCCGGAGGAGGAGGAAGAGAGGAGAGAACATGGTCATTGCAGTGTGGTGATCAGGTGTCCAGATGGAGGTGTGGCTATGGAGGTGGACGATGTGGATAAGATCATGGCGATGGAAGAAGAGGGGAAGAGGTGGATATGATGGTGGTGACTGAGGATGTGGAGGCAGAGGAGAAAGCTAGGATGATCGTGATAAGGACGAGGAGAATGAGGAGCACAAGGAGGGCGAGAGAGAGAGAGAGAGAGAGAGAGAGAGAGAGAGAGAGAGAGAGAGAGAGAGAGAGAGAGAGAGAGAGTTTAGTAGGAAATGGAGTCTTTTGTTGCGGGGGCCGCGCGGAGGAGCGGAGGGAATCGTGTGAAGCTAATCAGGGTAGCAAAAAGGAAAAAAAAAAAAAAGGAAAACAAAAGAAAAAAGAAAGAGGCACGAGACCCCTGCCTTACGCCCTCGACTAATAAGGGGCATCGGGTCCGTTGACCATCGACCAGTACGGCCACACGATTTTCGCGGATTTACCAGACCGTCATGAGGGCGAAATTCGCAGTCCGTCGAGTCCTACCGTAGTATTGACAGTATGTGTATGCTCGGGGAAAGGCCGCAATCATATGCATGGGGAAATGCCACGTGCGTGCTGCATTCTACAGCTCTCTTCTTCGTTTGGAATTTTTAAAAAATTTATTGGGATGAAAGCTCGTAAAAGTAGTCTGGAAGTCTGGAATGGAATGAAACTCGTAATATAACTGTAATTGGGGCGAAAGTTCACCAGAAACAAAAACACACGAAAAGAATACATCCGTATGCTGAGCTAATGGTGAGCCCCTGTGCATGTCCGAGTGTGTGTGTGTGTGTGTGTGTGTGTGTGTGTGTGTGTGTGTGTGTGTGTGTTGTCATGTCCCCTATACAGAACTCAAAAAAAACATGGCTGTGCTGAACAGACTGTTTTGTCGGGCTTTCACCGACTCATCAGGAGGTTGAACCTGGACCGACAGTCTGCCCAGGATTCATTTGACTGATGGATAGCGACTCACCACATCGCCCAGAGTTAGCGGTTTGTGTGTGTGTGTGTGAGAGAGAGAGAGAGAGAGAGAGAGAGAGAGAGAGAGAGAGAGAGAGAGAGAGAGAGAGAGAGGAAATATCGAGAAACTCTTCCATTGGTACGGTATTCCGGTGCAAGCTTTTCACGATGGAATAGTCCCCCGCTAAACAAAAGAACAAACAACAAAAAAAAAAAAACGACAGAAGGGTAGAAACTCCACATTAGTGAAGTGCTTCTATCTATGACAATATATATCTTCTATATATAGATGGGTTCAGCCTCCTGATGCGTCGGTGAAACTCCGACGAAACAGTTTGTCACAGCCCCTCCCTCGTTTGTTGTCCTCTTCTCCCTCTCTGCCTGCAGTTTATATATATCTTTTTATTTTTTATATTTTTGGCTGTGACAGACCTTTTGTTTCGTGCGTGTTTTGCTTGCTTGTTGCTTGCGATGGGGTGTGAACCGACCGACAGTCCGTAGAGTTTTCCATCTGGTGTGGGTGAGTGATAGTCTGCTTTGATTTTCGTTACAGGTACCTTGAGGGCAGTGGTTGGTGGTCCCTACCACCTCAGGGAGCACCACCGCGTCACCTTACGCAAACTCTCATATTCTCCTTTGGAGCGCCAGCGCCGTCCGATCCCCCGCGCTGCTGTCGATTCATTGACGGCCTTAGATTCGGTTTGATTGGATTCAAAACACCCACCGAGATGGGTATATATGCTCAACGATTCTTGGTTGATTTCACAAAAGCAAAAACAAAAATTTGAAGTTTGTTGTTATGTCCTCCCTCCACCATTTGCGCCATCTTAGGGTGTACTTACGGTAGGACTTTTTCCACTTCTCTGTGGATGTAATTGCGGTCAGGTGCATCCAGGATGGGCCGGAAAAGCAGTCATATACATCCTGGAAAGTCCTAGTGCGAGCATGCCCTTACTACTCCGGACACTGCCACAATCAACGGTTGGAAACAAACAATCGTCATCACCCTCAAAGTGGCGTTGATATTTCCGGCGTGCCCTTCTGACTGCCGACTTACCCTGGCGCCCCTCTGACGATGGCTCAAGTTTGCCAAAAACCCCTGGTGCCTGTTGGGCCTGAAATATTTCCATCATGCCCCTACCCGTACCGGGCAAACTCTTCAGTATGCCCTGGCCGGGTGGCCATTTGGTCCCAATACATATATTTTTCATATGACCCTACTACAGGTACCGGGCCATAACAGAAATTTGTTGCTCTCGCTGCCCTTGCCTGTGCGTGATACGGGAATGCCAATCTCTCTCTCTCTCTCTCTCTCTCTCTCTCTCTCTCTCTCTCTCTCTCTCTCTCTCTCTCTCTCTCTCTCCTGAGAAGAAGAAGAAGAAGAAGAAGTTGGTTGGTAACTAGATGGTGGCGCTAAAGCGATTCGAAATCGGAATTCGACTGTAACTAGATGGTGGCGCTAAAGCGATTCGAAATCGGAATTCGACTGCCTCATGCACGGGTGGACCAACAAGAACATCCCCCCGCCAAGGATGAGGGCATAACGCGAAGGGACTGGTGCTGTGGGACTACCGGTCCTGGGAGGGCATGGTGGAAAGTTACCCTTGCTTCTTTTTCGGTCCTCTCTTCTCGTTTCTCCTCGCTTTTCACTCCTGAGTCTCTACCCTTGTTCTCGTTTCTGTATTACTTAAGTATGTTTCATTTTATCTTTTTCTTCTTAGAAGTCAAGTGTGTATCTTATAAGCGGTGTTAGAGGCCTCAAACTGATTGTCACAATTGAATTTGTGGTGGGTGTCCATGCAGTGAGTGTCTCTTCATGCCAAAGGTGTGCTACCGTCCACAGAAACACCTTTCTACAGGGTTCTCTTTTTTTTCCTTCTTCTTTTGCAGTAAGTGGTGGATTTCTTGAATTCTTCATCAAGTGGTTTAAAGTTTTTGTCAAACAAGTAGATCCCCTGCCAAGCCAGTGGGCAGGAGGAAAACAAGGAGAAGAGGAGGAAGAGGGGGAGGAGGAGGAGGAGGAAGAGAGGGAGGAGGAGGAGGAAGAGGAAGGGGAGAAGGAGAAGGTAATTCCGGTTAAATGCTAAGTCTCAGATAGGGTGCCAAGCAGGTGGGAAGGAGGGAAACAAGGAGGAGGAGGAGGAGGAGGAGGAGGAGGAGGAGGAGGAGGAGGAGGAGGAGGACGACGACGATGAATCCTGCAAACTGCTTGCTTGCTGAAGGCTTGGTCTCCAAGTCCTATATCCGTCAAGGTGCAGAGTCGATTCTACAAAGGCAGAACCTCATCAGATCGCTGCTGGCGTGCAGGAAACTACCTACAGATGGTTGGGAGGACAACACGATCCAGATGTTCCTTCATGACATTGCATCAATGGACAGCAACAACTTTCTAGGTGCTGTTGGTGTGGGAGAAAGGGAAGCGCGGTGCGCTAGCCGACTTGTCTACCAACGCCATTTTGGACTCTGCCATGGTATTGGTCGATCGGGCAACGTAACGGAGGAGCAGCCAAAGGCGGCGGGCTCTTCGCTGATTTCGAAGCTGTGCAATCTTCTTGTGGCCCATGCAATGGAGATAGCTGGACTGAAGGACTTGGGGCCTGTCTCCGTGCTGCCGGTGGCGACGGGCATGACTCTCATGCTGGTGCTGATGGCTTTGAGGCAGCGGAGGCCTGCTACAGCAAGGTTTGTGCTGTGGCCTCGCATCGATCAGAAAACTTGTGTGAAAGCAGTTTTGTTGGCGGGGCTCGATCTTGTCGTCATTCCTAACCGATTGGAAGGAGATCAGCTGCGCACAGACACGGCCGCCCTTTTTAGAGAGGTGGAAGATCGAGGAGCGGATAGTATTCTCTGCGTCGTGTCGACAACGAGTTGCTTTGCAGCACGTGCTGCGGACAGGGTACAGGAGATCGCCATTTTCTGCCAGGAGAAAGGTATTCCACACGTGATCAACAACGCCTACGGCGTGCAGTCTGCAGCTATCTGTAAGTCGATCAGTCGCGCTTGGCGGAAGGGACGAGTCGATGGCATAGTGCAGAGCACCGACAAGAACTTTCTCGTGCCGGTCGGCGGTGCTGTCGTTGCAGCGAGCAAGATGAACCCTTCGCTGGTCGCTGACGTTAACGAGGCGTATGCAGGTCGGGCATCCATGACTCCCCTCCTCGATGTGCTGATCACATTGCTATCCCTTGGCGCAAAAGGGTGGCAGAGGGTACTTCGTGACCGAGAAGAAATTTACCCGTACCTTCGCCAGAAGCTCCAGGTGTTCGCCCAAAGCCAAGGCGAGCGCTTGCTGCAGACGCCCGACAACGCTATCTCACTCGCAATCACACTGTCCACTCTAGAAGCAGCCGGTGAACCGTGCAAAGAAGATTCCACCGCAGAGGGGAAACCAGGTTGCAGCACAGAGACAAAGCAAACGAGCAGCACAGCAACGAAACCGCCTTGTCCAGTTGACGACACAGAAGCAAAACAATCGAGCAGCACCGAGACACGACAATTGAGCAGCAGCGCAGAGACCAAATTGCTTCCTCAAGCAGATGACACCACAGCAACACAAATCAGCAGGTGTGTTCATGAAAACGCTCATCCCGAACACACTCATCAGGAACGCACTCGTCAGGAAAACGCTCATCACGAGAATGGTCAGGCAAGGGTGCCATCTCTGACAATGAATCGTGCTGCAGAAGAGGAGGCTGGCCATTGGATGTCATCTTCTGGACATAGAGGAGACACAACAGGTATGGGGCAGGCAACCTCCTCACATTCCCATTTTTCTGAGGCCTTGCACACGGAGAAAGCAGATGCTCGCCAGTGTCTGTCGTCATTAGAAGAACAAACTAGCTGCTCTCAATGGGAGCACTTCGAAACTGAATCGCGGCGAATGGCAGCTGCCGCGAATCTGTCTGATACGTCTTCCGTAACGGTCACAGAGAAGAAGGGGGGAGGAGGGTCAACGGTGGGTGCAGTCCTGCCGAGATCAGGTGGAGATGTCATGGGAAGGGAGGTGGTAAAGGGGACAACTGATGTCGACCGGGGGGAGCGTACACAATGGCGATCTTCTGACAATTTTCATCAGACTGCGGCAGCCTGCAGCAATGGTGATCAGACAGACCATGGCTCAGCAGGCGATCTGCCGCCTCTGATTAACGAGTTCGCTTGTGATGAGGAGATTGATTGTGGCCGCATAGATGGTTGCGACGCCGACTCCTCTGCCGACCATTATCCGCAATCCAAAAGCACCCGACACAGAGGCTGTAATCTCTTAAGCGACAGTCTTCATCTCTCCCACCGCTTAGGTGGGAGAGATGACGATGACGATGACAATGACGATGACGATGATGACGACTCTCGCAGCAGAGGAGGATCTTGCCACGGGGGTTCGCCAAGTAGGTCTCAGATTACTGTGGGTATTCCAACGACAGCCATTTGTTCAGCTTGTGACAAGAAGGGAACTGTAGACAAGCCAGCATCTTTCTTACTCCAGTGGAGCGATGAGGGCAGCCATAGCCACAATCACGATAGAGATGGTGACGGAAAGGGTGATGGAGGTGACTCAAGGGTTGATGACGGTGATGATGGAAATGAAAAATCAAGTGTGTATCATGATCAGGCTGAGAATGAAAGGACGTCAATGGTTGGTGTAGGACAGCTGGAAGGAAAAGGTGTAGACTCTGCAGAGTGTCCGATTGGGGAATCCGGCAAGAGCGACGAGAAACTGAGGAGAAGAAACCTCACTGCATTTGGATCTATGCTTTTTCTGAGACACATATCGGGGTGCCGTGTAATCGCCAGGGGTGAATGCAAGTCGGTCGGCGGGATCGAGTTCAAAGGATACGGCGCGTCTGCCGACAATTACCCGTATTCGTACATGACGGCGGCGGCTGCATTAGGACTCACACATGCTGATGTCGATGCGTTCATCGCAAAACTCGGTCGATGTTTCGCCGAATTTCGACAGAAGAGCAAAAAAGAGCGGGTGGCTGGCTCCAAGAACTAGCCCGGGAACGTTTCCGTGATGAAAGAAGGCTCTAGAGTCTAAGCTCAGTTAGCCCCAGCTAGGTTGTTATTGTTGCTCTTCTTGTTTTCTTTGGGGGTGGTGGTGTATGGTACACTGTAGGGGAGGCTTCGTTCTCTTGATGGGAAGCGCCATGTGCTGGGAGGGAGGCTTCGTTCTCTTGATGGGAAGCGCCATGTGCTGGGAGTCGCACCCAGGCCCGTTTACACAAAATGGTGCTTCATCATTGATTAGATTTTCTTTTTCTTTTGATTTCTTTTCATCTTATCTGGAAAGATTGGAAGAGGTGATTCAAGTTCACTTGTGAATTTGGCAATTTGCTCATCATGATGCTTTGGTGACGTTTCGCCGACTTCTAAGGACAGAAGAGCAATCAAAAAGGACACGGCCACCTGCAAACAAGAACCCCTCAGCTTTCCACAGACAAGAAGCTGTTGGGAGGGAAGGAGGGCGGGGGAAGGAAAGGGAGATCATGTGCTGTTTTCCCCCAAAACAATGGACCCTCAAAATGACTGTATCGGACTGGAAATTTAGCTTGTACACATTCAGGATTTGGGTTCATAGTGTTCGGAGGAAAAGCCCAGCTAGGATGCTGGCTGGTTCTTTTCCAGGGAACAGACGAGGGGGAAGGCAGGGCGAAGGATGCGGACAGTCCTCTCTCTCTCTCTCTCTCTCTCTCTCTCTCTCTCTCTCTCTCTCTCATACGCAGCGGCGCTGGAACATACAGCTTTGTGGTGTGATTCTGGTTCTCATCCTCCACCGATCCTTCCAAGGTTTTTTTTTCTTCCTTCCCCCCCCCCCCCCTCCCTCCTTCAAGTTAACTCCGCTTTTGTCACAGTTTGTCGGCTTCTGCTGCTGCTATGGTTTGTCCCCGAACGTCGTCAAAAACTGTGCACAAAATTCCACAAACTCATTTGTGGTGGAACCTCAGCGTCCCCAAAACAATTGTGGTCAAACCTCAGCAGAGTCAGCTCCATATGGTCAAACCTCAAAATCTGGCCTCCAAATTCAAGGTCAAGTTGGTCAACTGAAAAGCAGTGTGCACTGGTTAAGCCTCGGTCAAACCTCAGCAGAGAGTCGACGTCAAAAAAACAGAAAACGTTTGATCAGACCTGGGCACCACACTTGTGGACAAAGCTTAGCAGGAAATTCACCAAGATTGCAGTTAAAGCTCAACCAGCTCACCAAACTTGCAGTTGAACTCCTTGGTAGGAGCGGGAACCAGAGGGCAAATTTTGTGACTCCCACTCTCAGCACTCTGATCTGGTGCTGCCATGCTCTCTGCCATCTTGGCTTTCGACAGAGCATTACCTGGCGCCATCACGTCTTTTTCTCTTTCTTATGTTTCTTTCCAAAGGGAGCAGCAGGTATCGAATCGGGTTCGAATGAAACCGTATCGGACATGGTTCGAATGAACTGGATGTGTGCGTCATGGCTGGGTGAGTGCACCGGCGCGCGGGTGTGTGTATGTTTGTGGGGCCGGGGGACATGGGGTAACGTGTGGGGTTGTGTGTGTGTGAGGATGTGTGGGTGTCTGCTGGTGGATGAGTGTGTCCAGGCATGCATGAGGGCGGGGGATCTTGGCGAGTACAAGGGCAGTGGTCTGCGGAGGAGGGGGTATGTGATGGCGTGTGTGTGTGCGCGCGCGTTTGTTCACTTGTTTGCGCATGAGTGTGCCCGGGCATGCATGAGGGTGGGGGATCTTGGCGAGTACGAGGGCAGTGGTCTGCGGAGGGGGGGGCATGTGATGGTGTGTGTGTGTGTGTGTGTGTGTGTGTGTGTGTGTGTGTGTGTGTGTGTGTGCGCGCGCGTTTGTGCGTTTGTTTGTGCAGGAGTGGGTGCGCTTGTTTGTGTATGCGTGTCTGCACTTGTTTGTGCATGCATGTGTGGGTGGGTGAAGGTGTGGATTTGGGGTCGTGTGTGTGTGTGTTTTCATGACGTTTCATGTCACCTGCTCCGAGTATTTTTTATACTACATTCTGATGGCACCTATACTTAGTCTACCCCACACCAACTGTACTACCCCTTAAGTCTACCACCAGTCTTAAATGCACTAAGTAGGCCTAAGCTATCCTAAGGTTATGGGTCTATGCCTAGCTACCTAACTCTGCTCTGTGCGGGGGAGCAGCCCCCAAGCGCCTAACACCTGGCGCGGGCTGGAAAGTGAACATCGGCACTTCCACAACCACCCAGGAGGGACAAGCAAACTGTCTCAGTCGGTGAACCTGAAGTATGCCACACGGGAGGTCGTGGGAAATCAAATGGATGTCGTGGGGAATCGAACCCACGACCTCCTGTGTACCACTTACGTGCTCGACCAATTGAGCTACGCCGCTTGGCCACCTGCTTCGGAAGTATTAGTTGGCATTGCTTCACAATAACGCGTGCTAGTCTTGTTGTTCTGGTCGGGAACCAGCAGCCAGATATCTGGGGGAAAAAAAGACATGCTTTCATAGAGCAATGCGATTTGTTGTTCTATGCTTGAAACGGTCGACGCCCTACTATATAGACTTCAAGCTCACATAGCACTACTTGCTTCATCCTATTGTGTTTGACAACCCCCACACAATATGTCGACGAGTGCGCACTCCGCCGAAACTGGTTGGGACATTGAGCAATGGCTTGAGAGTGGGGTAGAGCAGCAAATGCCCAGCGAACACCGTGACATGATTCAAACATTGCTACCACAACTCATCCCTTTCCTGTTCTTTTTTTTTTTTTTTTTTTTTTTTTTGAAATGAGATGATGCTCCAAATCTATTCGTGGGGAGCAACACGGCTGGGAACCGCGCCCACCGTCCCTTGTGAAAATACAGAATCATCCTTTTGAACTGTGAGATTAGCACTTATCGGTTACGATCAAGCAGTGTGCGCAATCAATGCCAGCCATAGCAATGAAGAAAATCGATGGCCGGGATGCCAACCATTGCTATCGCATCAGCAATGAAGAATATCGATGGCTTTGATGCCAACCATTTTGCTATCGCATCAGCAATGAAGAAAATCAATTAATGGGCATCAAGACAAGTGTGAGGCTACTGTTGAAGTTGTTTGAGGTTTCAGAATGACCAACTTGAAATTGAACGCCATATACGATCACCCTAAGTTAAGGGGAGTCAGGGACACGTCCGGAACTAGAATCCCCAAGACGATCACCAGATGCTTCCATCATCCAGAGTAAACTTGAGAAAGGTATAACAATGTGAGAACAAAAAAAAAAAAAAAAAAAAAAAAGAAGTGAGATGAGGGCAACCTGGGTGTACGTTGATAATAGGCGGGAGAGTGCATCCACTTCGTGATTGCGTTAGCAAACTTAGCGTGGCTCAATGCTCATCCTATCGCGCAAATGGTAAGTGGCACTATAGTACGCGATCAGAAGGCTGATGGATATGTATTGATTGTTGTGACACCCTTCTTTACACTATCTTCGAGTCGAGTCCCTTAGCCCTCCAGCTTTTCTTCGAAGGTATCAGAGAAGGTTCAGGGAAAGCACTTCAAGTTCGAGGTCATGACGATCATGCGTGGGTGAAGTCTCACTCCGGTTGCGTTGCACGACGCACATCGTCAGGCGAGCACTGACAGGACTGTCAATCTGAACAGCAAGGACAGAGGAGAATCGACGTACAACTTCAATGATATGATGGCTTATTTCCTGTATGAAAAAAAAAAAAAAAAAAAAAACCCATGTGAAAAACATAGAGCCCATCCTTTTAAGCACTTCAGATGGCACATACTATGCACCTCTTCACACAGTTTTTTTTTTTTTTTTTTTTTTTTTTTTTTTTTTTGCGGAGGTGCTTGCGAACCGTCTGAGATCAACCTCTCATGGGTGCCCACAGTGTACGCAGTCACTCAACACAATTATTGTGTAATGCGGCCCGCAGCTGGGAAACTCCAGTGGCTCGGCTTACAGGACGTGCCCATTGCCCTACGACACAGACGCGATGGGGAGTGCCCTATCATGATGGAACACAGACGCAATGGGTTTGTGTATTTGTCAAGCGCGAGATCAGGAGGTGTAATTGTGGAGGGAGGGTAAACAACCTCCGGATCCCTCCCATGTTCAAAGAATTCATGCAACCGAGCCTGGACACGCACAAGAGAAGTGGGGTGGGGGGGGCCGGGCACAAGTGCTTAAAAGTCGCGGGCGCATGCACACCAGCCAAGCCAATGCTAGAGTGCTGTGGCATTTCGACTTGAATGAATTTCATGCCAGAGCCCCAGCGGTGTTCATCCGAGCATGTCACTGTGTGCATGCAGCTGCGACTTTCAGAAGTACCGGTGGTTAGTACATACATATATTTATATATATGTTGTCACAGCCCCTCGTTTGTTGTTCTCTTCTCTCTCTCTGCCTACGGTTTACCGGGCAGTTCTGTTTGTGACGATATATATATGGTACAAATGGTCTGTGATCGTCTGTCACGATGTCAGCTGTGATGTCGTTGAAGTTACTACGTCTTTCCCCGAACACAACACACCCCCATTCCGACTGTGTCGTTGAAGTTTTTTACATATAGAATTTCTCTTTCTCTTCTATACATGTGCATGTGCATTGGGGCTGCAGCGTGTTCACCGGAAGATGGCAATGAAAGCTTGGGGTGCGGGTGGGGGGTAGACGGGTTCCGTGGGAAGGCTGGGATAATTGCAGAAGGGGGAATTCGTCGGCACAGGCATGATTCGCAATTGCACGAACGCCACAACTTTTCTTTTTCTCATTTGTTAGCTCCGCTTTCCGCAAAGGCTGAGATATCCTCTCGAGTTGTCTGTGCCTCTATTAACGGCTATGAAAGTGTCGTCCCCGCGTTCCCAGAAAAGACGAAAGTCCATCTAGTGGTGGTGGCCAGCAGTACCTGCTAATAACTGGGTGCAGGCCCTGCAGGGTCCCATATTCACATTTTACAGTATGCGTCTTTTCGCTGTCCGCCAGGGCCAGCAGCCCCTTCAATGATTACAGGAACCCTACCACTCCGTACCACAGGGATCATGGTTGGTTCCAGGCATAGATAATGAATGACAAACCCTGTGCCT